ATTTGTTTCAACAAAGCTTAACACAGTGGGGTAATGATCCATGACTGGTGCTCCTTACTATTAGGGTAATACTGATAAAGCTCTGAGAATGGGTGCAGGTTTCAAGAGAAAATAGACCAAAAAGGCCACAGACAGATCTCTGGGGAACACTGATGAAATCTAGGAGGGGAGGAGGAGTAGGAATAGATGCCAATATATTCAATCTGCCATTTGTTTGCCCTTCCAAACAGTCTGATGCTTTTGGTCAGACAGGTAGGACCTCTGCTCTGGATGTGGGTGGGGAAGGTGAGGCAGTCTTCTGAATAAGACAGAGGTCTAAAAACACTACTAACAGTTAAGGCTAGGGCTTGAAAAACTAGTGTGAAGTGAGCTAAGTAGGGTTATGAAGTAACTACGGCCCTGGCTACACTTGGGACTTCCCAGCGCTGCCGTGAAGCGCAAGTGTAGTCGCGCCGCCAGCGCTGCGAGAGAGCTCTCGCAGCGCTGTATGTACTCCACCTCTCCGAGGGGAATAGTTTGCAGTGCTGCAAGCAAGCATGCAGCGCTGCAGGCTCTGATTACACTGGCGCTTTACAGCGCTGTACGTGCTGCGCTTGGGGGGGGGGAGGGGGTTTTCACACCCTTGAGCGCAGCAAGTTGCAGCACTGTGCAGCGCCAGTGTAGCCAAGGCCTCTGAGTCTCCTGGGAGGTGCAGTCTGAGTCATTCCCCCAGTTTCTGGGCTGGGGGAGGAAATGGAAAGCAGAGTAGCCCAGAACTGTTGCTCAATCCTCTGTATCATTGAGGCAGGGATGCACTGGTCTCATTGCAGGTCAGGTGGGAAGAGCAGATAGTGGGTGGAGGTGAGAGAGTATGGCGGGGGGCGGGACACTATAAAGAGAAGTTTGGGGTACTATCAAAAATGTTGAGTGTGCAGAGAGAATGAGGAACTGAAAATACGGGTGGGAGAACACAATATACAGACAGAAGGGCTAAAATCGCAGTTGCTATCAAAATTGTTTCTTGGTGTACCTGTTTATAGATTTCCTAATTTCTTAGAATTTCTGGGTTATTTTTTCAGGGTTTCTTTATCATTTGGGGGAGGGAGGGAAGGTGTCAGTTTGGTTCCACAACTTGGGTTATCAGAATCTGGACCTTTAGGTCCACATCACCTCTGGCACCTTAGCTAATGGAATAATTGACTGCAATAGTAGATTGACATCCTCAGTGTGGACCAGCCACTAGTGTGGGGACAATCAACATTTTGCTGGTGGGCTTAATAGTGGTTTGCTGACAGCAAAAGAATGTAGAGACCCAAGACTGCTTGGTTCCATTCCAGGTTGTGGAGAGAAGTGTATTGTAGTGCAGTGGTTCTCAAACTTATTTGATTATGTCCCCCTTCTTTGTGTCTGTTGTAGTTTATGCTCTGGGCGCCCAGTCAGCAGCCATGTCTCTCTGGCCGCCCAGCTCTGAATGTGCCCAGTAAGTTGTTGTTGGTTTTTTCCCCCTAAAGCTTCTCATGCCCACTCCTCGGAATACTTTGTGCCCCCCCAGTGTGAGTGGTTATAATGCCTTCTGTCTCAATTCCCTTAGGACAGGCCTGCACAACATGCGGCCCGCGGGGGCTCACTCTGCGGCCCGCGGGGGCTCACTCTGCGGCCCGCGGGGGGTGAGTAGGCAAGCGGCGGGTGAGGGAGGGGGGCTGAGGAGGTGAGTTGGCAGTGGCGGGGGGTGAGTAGGCGAGCTGGGGATGTGGGGGCTGAGGAGGCGAGTGGGTGGGCAATGGCGGGGGGGCAGGCGAGCCGGCAGCAGAGGGGTGGGGGGCTGAGAAGGCGAGCGGGCAGGCAGTGGCGGGGGTGCAGGTGATCCGGCGGTGGGGAAGTGGGGCTGAGGAGGCAAGCGGTGACTTGATGGCTGACCTGGTCCTTCCATGCCTTCCTCATTCACACCTCATTCATTCAACAGGGCAATTGATTACAAAGTGGGGGGAAGATCTTAATTTTTAAGGTAATTTTTCTTTTACCTTAATTATACTACCTTAGGAGCCCACTCTAACATATTACAAAGGTTCAGTACTGCTGTTTTTTAAATTAATGGAGATATCCTATGTGACGAACTGGGCCTGTTCTTACTGTGGTGTGTGAATGCTGACAGGGGTGTGTGGCTAGGATAGTCTGCATTGGGGGATGGGAGTCTGAGTCTGCCCGAAGGCGAATACCTGAGCGTGTAACATGAGAACCCAGGAAGGGGTTGGAGGCCAGGTGACACCTTGGCCTGGGAAACTGAACAAAGG